CCTCTCACCCTGGCACCCCTGTCCACGGTGCACACGCTGGCCCCCGCGCCACCAATGTAAAACACTTCCCGTGAATTTTATTGCTCGAGCTACCTCCTCGTATACTTCCACACGCGGGGCTCGCCTAACCTGTGTCCAGGAACTGACGGGACCACCACCCTCCTTCATCCCCCTCGCGTTTGCTTGCGCGAATTGTAAGGCCGGCCATTGTGCGTCGAATAAAATACGCGGCAAGAAGTATTGATTAAATATAATTAACCGGCAGCCGCTGCGCGATGATCCTGGCACCCCGGATGACACCCCTCTGTCCTCCGTTTCATCCCCCTATGGTAATATACTGAAGGAGAAGGTCTGATCATCTGGTAATACCATCTCCTATTACTGAGATGATAACTACAAGTTACTGAAGACACGTGGAGCTACAGTGGGTCACTCTGACATAAGTTTCATTTCCTATTGCGCTGGCGTAAAAAGCGAGATCTAGCTTTCTATACCTAGTTTCAAGGATTAATTATATAATAATAAGTATTGTTACTAGGTATAATTAACTGTAATTTAGTGTGGATGAAGACTGAACCCTCAAGAAGATCTAATCGATAGCTCTGACACGAGTTTCATCCCTTATCGCGCTGATGTAAGATTCTATATCTGGCTCGAAGGATTAATCATCTAACATTGATGATAACATTGTGAGTTTGAAGTTTAAGAACGAAGACTCAAGATACTATAGTAAATGACTCCAGCATCAATTTCATTTCCTATCGTGCTGCCTCAGAGAAGAAAGCCTCAGAAATTGACGTCACAAGCAAAAGGCTACGCAGAACAAGGTAGCCAGTAGAAGATAGAGCAGCAATGTATTCGTCCTCTTTCCTGTAGTTTTCTGGATGACTTATGGCTATTTGGAGTGGCGTCGTTGGGGGTGCGATTATTCCTGGGCGTAGATCATCGTGGTAGTTTATCGCGTGGCGGGAAAAGAATTCGAAACGAAGGTAACAAGGTAGCAGTTCCAGAAGAAGCGGCGTTATCTTGGCGACAGGGGCTGGTGATTCGTTAGAGCGGGCGGTAAATTCGCGAATTAAAGAACTTATTCCATTTGGGCAGCCAAAGGGGTGTGAACGCTTCCTCGTTCGTATTATCTCGCGTCGAGCGAGAAGAACAAAAAGGGTGTGCGGGTACGCGGTCTCGTCGACGTGAGGGTCGAGGGGGGAGGTAGGGGACGGAACAGGGGGTTGGCGGCGGCTAGTAGAAAGGCCAGGGCGAACGACGGGAGGGAATAACCTGTACGAACGGGGAAGGAAGACGGAGGGAGAGGACCGCCAGAGAAAGGGACAGAAAGGACGCGTTTAGACGTTCGTTCCGCTGGTAACAAAGATAACTCTATGCAATAAAAATGATTCAAAGTTTCCCGCGGCGGATGGTGGTTCCGATGGCGGAGCGGTTGACAATAGCGCGTCTTTGTCTCCACCCCGTACCCCCGATGCTGCCCCGCGCCTCCTCTTTCGCCCTCCTCATCGCCACCCTCCCCCCTTTCTACTCTACCTCGTCCGTATCCTGCGACACCTATCTTCCGGTTTAAAGTCCCACCGTGCGCGCCAGGGAGGAACCTCGCTAACTTTTATTATTTACGACCGATATTTCAGCCGGCAACGCGCATGCACCGGGCGCCCCGTAAAGTGCCTCTTGGGACCCACCGGCGATTCTTCAATTCAATTGACTCTCAGAAAACGCCTCGGAACAACTGTAATCCGGAGGCTCGGTTCTTCGATTTAGATCGGCGATTCCTGGTTCTAAACTTGGCCAGTTGAGGCGTCACTGGACCACTAAGGGATCGTCACTTTTGTAAAGTAAAATTCGATACGTGTTCACAGTTACGATAAAAACTTGCGAACGATAATAGCTGCTGTCACCGGATCGCAGAAAATTGAGACACATAGGGATAATAATCGAATGTCAGTCATGTATTATTGTGCATGTAGATGGTGGTAACATCTATGAATGTTACACTTTTTTAGGAAAAGAAGAACAGACTATAGTATATGATGGAAATTATAATAATGCTAAGAATTTCGATCGCACATTCAAAAAATTAACGATCTATTATGCGGTACAATTCTTTGCTGCATATTATTACCTATTATTGTACAGTATCATAGCCCTGATTACACTCTTGAGTACTAAAGAAACTCTCATCTATTTAAGGAAGCATTCTAGTCTAGAACCTTAAACAAAAATCGATATTTTTTTATTTCATTTTCTGAAATTATTTTTCGAAAATATTTCTACCGAAGGATACTGTTGGATTCGGGAAATGGATGAAATTATACGTAACTGTTTGATCCGCTCGACCGATCCGTTACCAATATAATAAGGGATCAGAACACATCCTGATCCCTGCAGATCGACAGAAGAAGGTTCTGTCAAAACTTGTAAACGTTGTTGAAAGAGCAACAAATATATATGTATATGAAAAGCGTCAATGCGTGTGTGCGTGTGTGCATGTGTGTGCAAGTAGTTGTATAGTTTCTTTATAAAAAAGATACTAAAAAACAAAACTCGTTCTAGACTAGAATACCCCCTTAACTTATAGTACGTCTAAAGAAGAGTATCTCTTACGACCTTATAGCTCTCCCAAAGATAATTCCAAACCGGTAGCAACTCTAAAAGCCGATAACCAGATCCACCAGTCTTCCTAAAAGCCTCTATTCCGTGAAAAAGGAGCCTTTGGCAGAAGAACGCGTACCTCACCGAGATACGAATTGTCAGACGAGAAGGATCTAGCATTGCAGGAGGTCGGTTAAGTAGAAGTTGCCCGATAACCACGTCGAGCCATTAACCGGCGTGTGTCGCTTAACGACGATTACCGCGAAAGCGTTTTCTCGGGCGAACTTTTGATTCGGGACGATTAAGCGCCGGTTAAATTATGGTTCGCGATACCAATACACAGGGCCGTGGAGAGGGCACGCGCGTCCCGCGGGTTAATCGGTGTAGGTGCATACGCGCGCTAGTGGAAAATGATTACGAGGTAAATGAAAGGGAAGGACTCGCGCTTGCTGGCCTGCCGAGAATGGGCAGAACGTTTCGTTCTCGCCCTGTGCTTTTATTTCATTTCAATGGCACCGTGGGATCAGCGGGTACATTAATGCTTGGCCAAGCGACCGAGCTTGCGCTCGCGCGCTCGGCCAGGGTTTGGGCTGTGGGGGGTGGGTGGCGCGGCCGCGACTACGAAAGACCAAAAGACCGGTGAGGGGATAATTTATAGGAAATGGGTTGTTCGACGCTCCGGAGTAATTTAATTAAAATAAATGTCCGTGCCGCGGAGGAACGTTACCCACGAACCCGCGGTCCACAACTGCGAATAAAATGCAAATTCAGACCCTTCAACCCGGTTACGTATGGGTATTCGTAGCTAGGTAGATAAAGAGCTCGAGGGGGATAGAGTCTCAGGGAGGGTCCGGTTCTTCTCTCCCTTCAGGGACCGATCATCGCTCGTTCACCCGTTGATTTGATAAGGGAGAATCCTGAGGAACCTCGCCTCTCTACTGTCCACTAAAACATTTTTCATTTTTCATGAAGAGCTCTTCTGTATTACAAAATTGTTTATTTCAGAATAATGGAAAAATTCGTTCGTCTTCATTTTTCATATCGGATACTAAGGACTTGAATATTCTGGAGGGTTCGTGTATGTTTATTAAACATTACTGTTCACACATTGATGATCGGTCACGAGTTAACTTGTGTTCTTATGCCCAGACGTAAAATTGCCGGTCAACAATGTATTAAGTACTGCACTGATGAATAAATTTGTGATGAAGTGTGTATTCTAGGAGCATCACGTAAAGCGTTCAAAATTTTACAGATTTACCCTGGACAATTTTTATTTTAGGAGTATAGCAATTACACCTCATAAATAGACTGCGACAGTTTTTGCAAAATAGAAATTGTGTGTGCTAATTACTAGATCAATTGAAAATAGTGCAACAGTATTTTTAAATCGTTTAAATGTTCTCACTGTTTTGTATTGGGCATGCCATTTTTGTTATAAATGCAAAAAATACGCAATCTACTCATAAGAATATTAAAAAATTAAGTGTCTGAAAATTATTATAATATTTAGTACAATATTATTTTATTTTCATTCTACTGAAATCTTTTATCAGAAAAGTGAAGTTCTATTTAATTTCAATTTCACTAAATCATCCCTTACGATCAACCCTTATGCCTATAACCAATACATTTTTGGTGTTACATAAAAGTAAGTCGTACTCCGAAAATGTTCGACATTTATCCTGTATATTATTAATGAATCTTGTTAGCTCTGTATGATTAATAAATCATGAACAAAATTTTCCAATGTTTTTGGAGATGTTTCAATTTGTAGAATATTCGAATAAATCTATGTCTTCAATTCCCCGCTTGTTATATCGTGTAGAAACATGTTAGGAAATAAATATTATGAATTGTAAAGATAGAACTTCAAGATTTAAAATGAGTCCAGATTTATTGCTGTATCACTTTTTTTTAACGAAATTATAGCAGTGTAAATATCGATAATTTGTCGAATTTCAGTAATTTATTTAACGGTTAATATTAAGAAAAAAGCCAAGAAGAATTATCCAATAAAAATAGCACACGATAAAAGTCTAAATCACAACATAAAATCCACTCAAAACATAAAATAAAAAATACAAGTATATGAAAATATGCAATCAATTTCAATTAGAAGTAGAAAATATTGTCCTACAAAGCAGTACAAAATTTCAATAAAAGAGATTGTAATGCAAACAAAAAATTAATAACAATTACACATCGCTCGAATTTAAACCGCATGGAAAAAATAAAAGACGCCTGCGCCGTCTGTTCTGACCGCTATAGAGGTTAGGTGCTCACGCATCGATACGTTGTATACAAAGGATTGTACTGCTCGTTAAGTTATTTTTAAGGGCAGAGATACAACGCATTAATTAACGAACTTGAGGAATAATTGAGAATTAATTGCTTACCTGATAACCGAGATCTTCTGTGACCTTATCATGATTTACCCCAAGATGTAACGTCATTACACAAAATTCCTTCGCGTCCCACACGTATATTACATTGTCACGGATTTCTAGGATGTTCTGTGTGTCCTTGATGTTCTTTGGCAGATTGTTCTTCAACTCCCGGAACAATAGTCTTTCATTTAAACGCAATGGGTCCGTGTATGCACTCATTTCTCCGGATATTGAGGTTAAAACAGCGCGCAACGTACCAAACAACAACGAAGTTCCCTGTTTGAATTCAGTGAGGTATGGCGCAGCCAACATTCGAATATCGACGACAGTTGGCAGCACTGCGTAGAATCCAGGGAAGCCTGGCGTTTTCTCTACTTGATTTATAAAATTATAGCTAAAATATTGTTTACAATGTTGTTTCAGCTAAGTATCCTCATCTCGAGCGCATCAAGTTTCTACTTGTACGTATTATTTACTGCTTTCATACATGTAACCTTTCCAATGACTGGAAAAATAATATACGTTCGTTTGAATAAAAAAATGAGTACTACTGATTGTGTCTCTGGTTTTACGCAATATCAGATGCAACAGAGTTGTTTGATATTACTTAAATAATATTTAATTTAGTATTTGCATAGAACGATTTAAATATGGCGACCCGTTTGCTTACTCTAAGTATATAGTCTATTTCGTAAACTATGAAACTTTACGCATATAAGGTATAGGTTAATTGTATATACGAATTAGGTATATGCACATTTATAACGCCTGTATTAACAAAAACAATTAATATTTTTAATTTCTTATTGACTTCTGCAACTTTTCAACAGTAGATGAACAGAATTTTTCATTTATTCTAACTTTTATAAAGTAATTTATGGGATCCTCTGATAAAGATAGAAATTTAAATAAAAATATTTGCAGTTACAATTTGTAAGCATTCATAAAACATAAAACAAGCAAATGTGTGTGTTAGGTAGTAATATATTCATTCAAAATAAAATTAAAAAGAAATAATAACATTAGTATTAATATTTTCTAA